ATGTCATTTATTATCAAACCATATATGGTTTCGTATGCATTCCGTCTAAATTGGTATAAATCCGTAAAATCCATAAATGGTTTCGAATGCATTCAATGTTATTTTAGTTATACCGTTTTTAGAAAAATTATCATTTGATTTTTGTTTTCAGAATGGATTCTGGGAAGTTTTATGGCTCGTCTAAATACGTTAACTGTATTCCTGGTGATGGAGAACTAAGTGAAGATGATGTAGGATTAGATTCAGATAATGAGTATATTCCTTTGAATGGAGAACTAAGTGAAGAGGAATTAGGTTCAGATTCCGATAATGAATATATTTCTCGATGTCGTCAGTCCCAGTCTGATGATAGTGACAACAATGAACAAAGGAATTTGGATGAAAATATACCTACTTGCTCTGGTATAAATAGAATTGTCAACAAAAAAAAGAAACTGAAAAAATTTTATGGGAGTCAGGCCATTTGAAGCATTTTAATAAAAGTGATTATGCATTTAAATGCGTTGTAGATCTACCAGAATGTATCCTTGAGTTAGAAACTCCTGCAGATTTTTTCTTGTTTTTGTTTCCAAAAGAATTAATATCCATGATTGTTGAACAATCAAACATAAAAGCTCTGCAGGATAACATAAACAAACCTGCCAATATTACCGAAAACGAAATGGAGCAATTTATAGGAACTGTAATATTTATGTCATTGGTGAAATTACCATCATCGAGACTTTACTGGAATGCACTCTAGGTCAACCACAAGTATTTGAATCTATGACCTGCAGTAGATGGGAAATTATAAAGAAACACCTTCATTTTAGTGATAATAGTAACTCCGTTCCCGTTGGTAATCCGGGCCATGATAAATTGTTCAAAATTCGACCTCTATTAGACACGATTAAACAACGGCTTTTACTGGTTCCCAAGGAGGAACATCTAGCTGTTGACGAACAAATTATCCCTACGAAATGCCGCCACCACCTCAAACAATATAATCCGACAAAACCTTACAAGCGGGGATACAAAAATCAAGTACTTAGTGGTGTATCAGGTTTTAGTTATGACTTTGATATTTTTGCTGGTGAACAAGGCAATACTTTTCCAAATAGAGCGCGTGATTTAGGAGTCAGTGGAAATTTTGTCACTAGACTGACAGAGACAGTGCCGAAGAACGTTATTCATAAAATATTTTTCGATAACTGGTTTAATAATCCAAAATTACAGATTTATCTTACAAAAAATGGATTGTTACCTTTAGGTACGGTTCGATTAAACCATGTTTCAAATTCAGGAATCCCATCCGAAAAAGAACTAAAGAAAAAAGAACGTGGTTTCATTGTAGAAAAAGTTGCCCTGGTTGAAGACGTAAACATAAGTTTAATAACTTGGTTCGATAATAAGCCAGTAAATATGTTATCAACTTACGTTGGTAGTGAACCTAGAACCACAAAACGTAGGTACTTCCAAAAAGAAAAACGTACAAAGAGATTCCATGGCCTCAAGCTGTCGAAGTTTATAATCAGCTGATGGGAGGAGTGGACTTATTAGACTCGATGCTGGGGATTTACAGAATCCATCTAAGATCAAGAAAATGGTATAAACGAATTTTTTTTCATATGTTGGATCTATGTGTTGTAAACGCATGGATACTCTGGCGTAGAAAAAATGAACAAAATTGCTATATGCCATTATTTGACTTCAAGTAAGCCGTTTCTGAACATTTATGTAAATTTGGGAAGTCACTACCAAGAAAGAGAGGTCGTCCAGCAGGACAAAATGGGACTCCAACATCTAGTCATCAAGGAACTCCAACGTCTAGTCGTCAAGAAACTCCACCTGTCTTAACAAATGGAACAAACCCAACACCAACAAAAAAAACAAGAAAAACTCCTGCAAGACATCAATAGATACCGTTAAATTCCGTGCGTACGGACAACATTGGACATATGCCAGAATGGCAAGAATATCGCCAACAGTGTCAAATATGTACAAAAAAAACTTACACCAATTGTATAAAGTGTAAAGTATTTTTATGTTATAATGAAAAAGGAATTGTCTATCACAATTTCATAACTAACGTATTTTTGTATGTTAACTTTTTATTAAAATATGTTCTTATAATGCATGTGAAACCACATATGGATTTTCAAAAAATCTACCAGTTTGTAGTTATTGCATCTGAAACCATATATGGGTTTGCAAAAAAACTTCTATATATAGGCCTAAACAGTTATTTTAAATGTACTAATGCCTTTTATATACCTTAATAAAAATCACAATACATAAAAATATTGTTTATTTCATGTTTGCAATAATTCATGCAGTAGAGGGTTAAGAAGTCCAGTTTATAACTTAATGAGTGATTGTGACATCTACATAACTTGTATTGTTTGTTTAATTTTCATGTAAAGACAGACTTTTTTTTAGAAAAATAATTGCTTTAGTAACAATTTAAATTTTTGTTTTTTTTTTATTGTAAATTTTAGGTTTTGAGTTTAGCTGTCATTTTAAATTTTTCTGTTTTAAATTTAATGTTTACATAAGACAGCTAGCTTTATTATTATTGATTTTCATTTGTTTTGTTTAAAAAAAAAATAGGTTAGCCTCTGTGCGGTAACATTTGTTAGTTTTTTGTAGTATCTCCAACTCCTAGAGTCTGTAAATGGATGATATGTAAGTTTTTTGTATTTTTGTATTTTGAAACTATTGAGGTAATATTTTTGTATTGTCTTTTTTGAGTATTCTTGTATTCTCTATGTTTTGTAACTGTTTGTGGTAAGACACAATAAATCTTAAATTTTGTTTTCTTAACATTTTATTTATTTATTAAACTAACCTCTTTTTTGAGTTTAATTTGAAAAAGATAGGTTTTTTTAGGTTTAATAATTATTTTCCTAGTTACAACTAGTGGTTGTAATACGTATAATTAGGCACCTCAAAGTAGCGCCCCATATTAAATTACTAGAGGTGTTTCCAATTTATTTTTATTTTGTTTGTTCCAAGAGATTAATGACCCCTTTATTTCATTTTTCGCACAAGTAGCGATTATTTTGCTTGTCTTATCTCCACCCCCTTAGTTTCAGTCCCCAATTTTTTATCACTTGTATTAATACCCCATGTGGTAAGCAAAATATCTTCGTTACAACTTTATCAATAAACCTTAAAATTTTGTTTGTCGTTTATATTATTTGTAAAACTTGCGAAGTCATTATTTTCTTTGTCGTGACCAACAGTTTAATGTTTTTAATAACTTTTTTTTGTAGATAATTAAATAAAGTCAGAAAAGTAAAAAGGTATTAAGTGTTCTTTTCAAGTTATCATTAACTTTGTCAACAACAAAATCCAATGATACAGATGTAAGAAAGTAATTATGTTCTGAATTGTTTAGTTACTGTCATAAGAAACGCTATACGAATTGTTAAAACAAGTACAATGTTTTACAAACTTTCTTAAAAAACTTGGAAAATATTACTAATTATCTGCCATTAGATGAAAAGTTAATCTTTATGTCTTTCCTTTTTTTTTGTTTTGGACTTTTATGATCAAATTTCACTAAACCGTCGATTGATTGAACGTTATTCTTTCATTCGCCGTTACAAATAGAAGCGCTTTTTCAGACATGAGTAAGTCAAGCCTAGTTTCTTATAAATTTTCTATTTTTTTATCCTTCACCTCTTTATTATTGAAGGTTGCGACTTTTGTTTTTACAAATTTATTATTTCAGATGATGAAATGGACATTATAAGAAAATCCTTATCATTTGGGATTAAAAAACAGTACCACGGATTTTTGGCTGCACTGTTGATATGCGTGCTTGTATATATAGAGGTTAATACAATCGTAGCAGTAATTCTACTGTATAAAAAATATAGCAGTCTGAAAGCTTTTGTGCCTTATATTACAATCGCTATTCTTAACCAACCTGTAAGTGATAATCTATTATTATTTATACTTTGTAATAAAGTGTACACGTAATAAACAATATTTCTTAACAATTTCTAATCGCTAGTGTATAACGTGCAGTAAATTAAGATTTGACCTACTTTAAATATTTTAACTTTTTTTAACCATAAGTTTACGTTCACATAGACCACTACAGTGGCGGTCTCAGAGTCAGATTTTGGGAGGGGCGATGGTCTGTTGCAGGGGGGTCTGGGGGGTGCAGTCCCCCATCCGGAAAGGGGGTCCGGAAAATTTGTAAAAATATGGCAAGATTTTGAGAGTTTTAAAGACATTTTATTCATTTGAACAGTTGATGGACCGAATTTGGACTGACTGTCACTTAGTGGTTGTGACGAACGGTGAAAAAGGAAAATCACTTATTATTATTACAATTAGTATCAGTGGAAACAGTTTACACTATAATAAAAGATAAAAAAGCTAGCCTCTAAAGCTTGTTGTAAATATTGTTCGGCTAACTTACAAATAAAATATTCAAAATATATTTTGTATTCTTGTGATTGTATCAAAAACCAATTTAGAACTATTGAAAACAACTCAAAGTCTAATAGAAAAGGTTTGTGGGTGATAGTATTTTTCAATGGCAAGCCTCTAAAGCAAGTCTCATCTTTCTAAACCTTTGACGATTTAGGTGGTTTTACGTTATCACGAACAAACGTCAAACTTCAGAGGTTTGATCTGACAATGTTAGTTTTACGCTTGAATTGAAAAAGCTTAAAACACATTTTACCTTTTAAAATGTTAAAATTTACAATAAATATACAATACAAATTAGTCTATTAGAATGGAAAAAAGGAGGTTCACATTATACATTGTAATAGTTTTATTAGGTTATAAGTAATAAAATAACAAGTTATAAGGTTTTAAAAAGAATGTAATTACAAATCGAATTCAAGTCTTCGATGGCCACTTTTGGCGAATCGTTCTAAAACTTTCGTTGGGTCTATAGGAATGTCTCGATGGGCATGGATTAGAGCAAGTCCAGTCAACCTGTCTTGACGCATCCGTTCTTAGCCACGACTTTATTCTCTTTAGAGATTGAAAGCTACGCTCTGCAGAAGCATTGCTGATGGGAAGTGTAGCTAAGACTAGAAGTAGCTTGCTGACTGTAGGGAACAAATCTCTGTTACAACTGTCTAACGCGTCCAGCGCTGTTTTTGTAAATTCGTCCGTGTCTTTCCATTGCATTTCCCAAAGCTGTAGTTCACCTTTCAATAAGCATTTCATTTCAGCTTGAGACATATCAAAAAGTTCACTGTACCTCCTTACTAAACACTCAATTTTTTCAAACATGTTCTGAATAGAGTTGGTTATCACTGTTATCAGATATTCAGGCATGCATACGTGAAAATTGTAAAACTCCAATGTTTCTTCAGGAGAACAAGACTTTGTGTCTTCTATTAAAGAGTCTAGAATGGAAAGGAACACTGATACTCTAAAGTATGTCTCTGGGTCTTTTATTGTGTGGTTGGCTCGATTCTTCTGCACTTGTGATATTCTTGGAATACTAATATCAAAATTTGTCTTCTCGGCGATGTCCTTTGCTTCTTGGAACAAATCTTTAAAGCAAACAATCGCTGTGTTCCGTTGACTGGCAAGTGCTTTAGTTATGTCCGTAAAATGTTTCAATGCACATTTCAAGTCAATATCAGGTTTTTGAAGTAGCTTGCTAAAAGGCAGTGTAAGTGAAAATATGTTGCACATACACACTACAGTGATAAGGAAAGTACTGTTCAGTAAGGCATAAATCAGGGTTCTTGCCTTGGATGCAGCTTTTAAATCTTGCCATGAAGCTACTGATTCCAGGGCTTAAATGATTTCAGGGAACTTAAGTCTGAATTGTAAAACCGATGTTTGCCTTTCCACCCAACGTGTTTCACAAAATCCAGGTAGCTGGCCACCTACATAGTGTTTCAAAACTTGATTTCTCTTTGAGGAAGACGTGAAGAACGAAACTGTTTGTTGTATGGTACCCGTTGCATTTCTAACAGCCTGAACTTGAGATGATTTGGACAGTGATAGATTTAAACTGTGGCAAATTTGGCTTCCAGTTTGATTTCTTGCACAGCTCCTTCAGATTCTGTACACACTACAACCATCCGTGCATGTCTACCCAACGTTTCCCCTGATAAAACAATTTCCTCCATCATTGGGTCAATGTTTTATTCATTTCTTTATATATCTCTGGTTCTTCATCTACGGTTTCTGTATTGCTTTCTTATACTAGAGAAGCCCTTACATCAATAAATTTAACAAAATCTTCTCTTACTTTTCTTTTGTTCACATATCGCAGAGTCAATGCCATTTGAGATGTATGTGACATATCGGTTGTTTCGTCAAACATGATGCTGTAGTATGGTGCATCGTGAATTCTCCTCTTGATAACTTCTAGAATTTCTTGACCACAAAGAAAAATAAGATTATTTTGGGTTCTTTTACTGGTGTACGTAGCTCTTGACGATGCTGTTTTTAGACGGTCTTCCAATTTTGTCCAATAATAGCAATGCATTAGTTCGATCTCACACTTCTGATTAATATGTATATTACCTTCTCAATTTTTCAGAAAATTAAGGTTTCTGGGGGGGGGGGGCAATCGCCCCCAACGCCTTCCTCTTGAGACCGCCACTGGACCACTATGACGCGATCAGCGATGCGATGCTTTGCTATGCTTTGCGTTACATAGCAAGCTATTATCTGTGGCTGTTTCAAACAATGATTATGATTTGACATAAGATTGAATGCTCGAATAAATGAACTTTGATAAAATGAAAGGTAGATATCGAGCACTGCTTTATTAATTAAATCTTGCCCAAGTACTTTCGCTTCCTAGAGCATCTTCGACTTAAAGATATGCTGCGTAGTCACAAATTCGATGAAGCTAAGACTTAGGATGACAGACGAGATGCGGCAACTAATGGACAAAAGAAGATCATACAAAATAAAAAATGTAAACGGATCTAAAGCCACACACAAGAAGATCAAGATAAAATACGGGCATCTAAAAAGAAGTGGTACAGCGACTAGAGATAGAAGAACTCTAGAAAAATCATGATAGTGTTGAATTACACAAAAAAATTAAAGAATTAGCAGGTATAAAAAAGTCCAATATCAAAGGCAAACTAAACAAATGAAGAGAATACGTTCAAGAATTGTTCGAGGATGACAGGACACAATAAAATAGCATGAAAGATTTAAAGGAACATGGAATAGGTCCACATTTAATTAAGGCTGAAATAATCCATACAATAAATTTGGCAAAATCTAATAAAAATGCGGGGACTGACACAATTCCAACTGAAATAATTAATTTAATATCAGAAGATCAGATCAATGTATTAGTAGACTTATATAATACTATATGTAAAGTTATAATTTTTAGACAAAGGACATCTTGGTTAAACAATCCGAGGCTTAAGACACTTAAGACTATAAAGTGTAAACGCATGCCAAAAATACATTACTTGAGAAAGGCAATCAGCCGAAACAGCTGTAGTGATAGGAATTTAAAATAAATTTTGTGGAAGTTTGAAAACAAAGTTTTCAGTGTCATATTTTTCCGTTTAAATCTAGTTGATTCCGCTTAGTTTTAATGTGCGTTGTCCATGTAAGTTTTTCATCTAGGTGCAATCCCAAGTATTTTACAACTAGTTCTATAGGAATGGTAGTATTATTATTATTATAAACTTGTGGACATGCAGATTTTCTTTTTATAAAAGTAATTTGTACTGATTGGCTAACATTAACACTGATCTTCCATTGCGTAAGCCAGTTTTGTAATTAGACTAAATGATTATGTACATTTTGTGATGCTACATTAGCGACAATATCCACTGCCCAGATTCCTGTGTCATCGGCAAAAGTAGCTAAGAACGTATCATTGCTGGTTGGAACGTCTGCTGTAAATATCAGGACCCAGAACGCTACCATGAGGTACACCAGTAATAAGATATGATTTTAGTATAATGTATAGTTGGTCTGTTGGGTGTAATTTCAGTTTGTAGAGGAGACCTTTATGCCATACTCTATTAAATGCCTGTTGTATATCTAGAAACACTCCAGCGGAAAACTTTTTTCTTCGAGAGTTGTTTAATTATATTTACTATTCTGTGGTATTGTTCATGTCTAAATCTGAATTGGTGTTGTGGTATAATTTCGTTTATGGAAACAACTTGCTCGATTCTATGTAACAACGTTTATGAAAACAACTTGCGTTTTTAATACTTTAACATTATTATAGGTAGGCTTATCGGGGGGTATGAATTTTTCATCACAAGACATTGCGTTGCAGGCTTGCAGTCATAGTAACATATTAATAAAGCAGGTTTCGGAATCATAGTAACTTGAGCAAATTTTTATTGCATTGGAAAGTATCGAAGACGTAGTATGCTGTTGTATATTATTATTAATAACACAACTGCTTTTCTCGGTAGCTTCTAAAGTAGTTCTTCTATTATTAAATCATAGAAAGGAGCTTTCTTAGGATTTAGCATTTGTAATTGTTGTTGAACCTCTGTCGGGTAAATGTTGGCAGAGAAAGAGATAGTTGATATGGAGTTTTAAGATACATTTTTATATCACATTTTCAGCCTTATTAGTATCTGGTGCAAATAATACAGTTTCAAAATGCCCTACGAATACTATTGTTTTTTTCTGCGTTTGTGCTGGCTTATCTCATATCTGTTCTTCTTAAAGGTGAATTTGTTATTGTTGGTCGTTTAAAGTTTTTTGGTAGCTTTTCATATATAGTTGTCTTCATGTGAGAGGTTTAAACATAAAACTGATAGAGTCGTTTTTTTCTTCATATAATGCTCTGTTTAGTCTAGAGTTATTCTGTTAAGGTATGTTTTATTTAGTTGATTTTTCGTTTGTTGCCATTTGCGCCGAGCTCTTCTTTTGTCTGCTACAAGTTTACTTATATGAATGTGAATATATTATGGTTTTTTGCATACTTCTTTGGCGCTGTGGTGTTGCTTCACATCCTGCTGTTATAGTCTACTCCGTTCCCTACATCTTTTATTTAGATAATTTTGGAAAGCATCCCAGTTTGTTTCGTTCGTCGTGAGTTTGGGTGGTGATATTCCCCATATTATGTGTTGACTTAAAGTTATTACTATTGTGCTCTGATCTGATGTTAAATCGAAGTTTGACTCTTCTTCTTCTCGTGCCACTCCTAGCGGAGATTGGAAATCATCATGGCCACTGCGACTTTGTTAGCAGCGCGCCTAAAAAGTTCAATCGAACTACACCCGAACCATTCACGTAAATTACGAAGCCACGATATTTTTCTTCTTCCCACACTTCTTTTGCCCTTAATTTTGCTCTGCACAATGTTTCTTAAAAGTTCGTACTTTTCACCTCTCACAATGTGCCCCAAGTATTCCATGTTTCTAGATGGAACTAGTGAACTAGTTTGACTCTATAGCACTATTAATGTCAGCTATTATTCCTTGTGTTAAAGCAAAATCTACTAAATCTGGGATTTTGTTGGGGTTTATAGATCAGTATGTGGGTTCTTCCATTGATCAGTATCTTAAGTTATTTTATTGGATGATATTCATTAATTCTCAACCTTTAGGCGTAATTAATCTAGAACCCCATGTGGTGTGTTTGGCATTCCAGTCTCCTGCCACTATAAATTTGGATTCAAGAGTTTGTATGAAATCATGATAATCTTCGCTTGAAATGGGATGACTTGGTGGGCTGTAGACTCATGATACACTGAAAGAGGTATTTGTTTCGATTTTAATGATTGCTTCTTGGATTTTTTCCGTAATATAAGGTTGGACTGCCTAGTGATTATTTTTGATTTAATAATAACAGTAGAGCCTGCATGTGATTCTCCGTCTGGATGGTTTGCATAATACACAGTACAGTAAGGTATCTTAGATATTAGTAGAATGTCTATATTATACATTTTTCAAAACAGTGAAAGTATAGGGTTTAAAATACCATTAGCATTCCACGATATAATTCGTAATGACTTGAAAGCTATTTTATTTTTTTGTTAATGACTGTAGTTAACATGGTTAAAATCATGCTATTTTGGTTTAAGAGTTGAGAGAACATATTTTTTAATTCGTTTAGGAAATCTAATAGTTTATCTGCTAAATCATTGTTTTAATTTTTGTTATCTGCATTTATGTTTCCAATGGCAGCATCCAAGATTCTCTTGAAATTATGAGCATAATGTTGGATAGGTATATTTACATTGGGACTTCTGATAGGATTTTTGGTGGTGATTTGTTTTGATTTGTCATTGTATCTGATATTTATTAAATCAAATATGTGACGATAGACAGAACAACCTCTAGGATTAGAAGAATGGTATCGCAGTGCATACAGCGTATTTTACGCAATTATATGGTTTTGCACGGTACGTTTTAGTATGACCTTATTCTTGACATAGTGTACATTGTGGTATATTTCTTTTAATTCTCGGTGGTTTTACCTTTATTTTAGAATTTTATATATACTGTAGTTTAAATATTCCACTGTTATTCGTTTGAAGCTCGCGGTCAAAAAAATAATGGTAATGGTTCATAGCTCAATCTGTGTTCATTTGTTCATAGCTCAATTTGTAACGTTCCTTAACTTATTTATGACACTTTTTTTGAATTTTCGCTTTTATTAAAATTTCATCTATCGGAAAGGAGTGATGTAAATCTCAAATAAAGAAGACTGTATACATGGAAATCTCCCGGTGA